TGAGACTTGACTTAGTAGACAGAGCCACCCAGGCACCCTGATTAGTTTTCATATTTAAGTATATAATTTAATGGGTTTTTGACATAGGTACACACCAATGAAACCATCTTCATAATTAAGATAATGAAATATCCATCACCCCAAAGAGTCCCTGCCACAACTTTGAAATCCCTCCTTCCCTCCTTTCCTCTTATCTTGAACAACCACAGATCTGCTTTTTGTGCTACAGAGTAGTTTGCATTTTCTAGCATTTTATATGCATATATTTTATATGAATGAATTGTAAACCATTGCATAGATACACCAAAATCTGTTTATCTACTCATCTGTTGATTGACATTTGGGTAGTTTCTAGCTTTTGGAAGTTACAAATAAAGCTGTTGCAACCATTCACGTGCAAGTCTTTATGGGCACAGTCTTCCATTTCTTCTGGTAAATATTTAGAAGTGGAGCAGCTGGGTGGTAGGATTGGCTGTGTATAATTTTTTAGGAAATTGCCACACTGTTTTCCAAAGAGGTACCATTTTACATTCCCACATTTGCCCCGCAATCTCGCCAATTCATGGTCTTTTAAATTTTTGCCATTCTAGTGGGTTTGTGGTGGCATTTGCTGTGGTTTAAATATGATGATGTGGTTCATATTTTCATACACTGACTTGCCATTCATGTATTCTCTCTGGTGAAGCATCTGTTGAAACATTTTTTAAGTGTTTTAAAACTTGGATTATCTTTTTAATTGTTAAGTGGTAAGAGTTACTTATATTTTTTGGATAGAAGTTCTTTGTCAGACACAGATTTTTCAGATATTTTCTCCAAATTTGTGGCTTGCCTTTTTGTTTTTGTAACAGTGTCTTTTGGAAAACAAATGTTAGTTTTTAGGAAGCCCAGCATATCATTTTTTCCCTTTATAATAAACTTGCATTATTTTTTAAATATTTTATTTATTTATTCATGAGATACACAGAGAGAGAGGCAGAGACATAGGTAGAGGGAGAAGCAGGCTCCCTGTGGGGGTCTGATAGGGAACTCAGTCCCAGGACCCCAGGATCACAACCTTAGCCAAAGGCAGGCACTCAACCACTAAGACAGCCAGATATCCCAAGCTCATATTCTTATGTCCTATTTAAGACTTTTTTTGCCACGTTGTTTTCTTCTAAAAGTTTTATAATTGTAGCTCTTACAGGTCTATGATACATTTAAAAGTTAATTTTTGTATATGAGTTAGGGTTGAGCTTCCCCCCCCTTTCTTCCCTCTTTCTTCCCTCCCTCCTCTCTCCCTCCCTCCTTCCTTCCTTTCTTCTTTTATATGACTATCTAATGATTCCACCATCATTTGCTGAAAAGATTGTCCTTTCTCTATTTAATTGATTCAGTACCTTGGTTGAAAATCAAGCAACCATATACACATGGCTCTATTTCTGAACTCTTGATTCTATCATATCAAACAAAAATTTCCCAATGTTGCTCTTCTTTTTCAAAATCAATTTGGCTGATCTAGGTCCCTTGCATTTTCATATACATTTTAGGATGAATGTGTCCATTTATACTGAAAAACAAAACAAAACAAAACACCTATCTTCTGGCATTTGACTGAAATTGCATTGAATCTATAGATTAATTTGTGAAGAATTGACAACTTGATGATATTGAGTCTTCCTATCCATGAATATGGTATATCTCTTGATTTATTTAGGTCTTCTTTAATTTCCTTCTGCAAAGTTTTATATTTTTCTGTTTATAGATCTTGTCTTTCTTTAATTGGGTTTATCCCTAGAAATCACATTTTCCCATGCTGTTGTTAAGTGGTATTATGTTAAACATTTGATTTCTGATTGCTACAAGTATATAGAAATGCAACAGATTTTTGTATCTTGACCTTGTCTCCTGTAACCTTGCTAATCTCATTTATTATTTCTAGTAACATTTTTGCATATTTCTCAGGATTTTCTACAATTTTGTCATCTGCAAAATAAAGATACTTTCATGTCTTCATTTCTTATCTAGATGCCTTTTATTTATTTATTTTTTTATTGCACTGACTAGAACCAATATTGAATAGAAGTGGTGAGAATGGGCATCCTAGCTTCAGTCCTGACCTTGACAAGAAAGCATTCAGTCTTTCACCATAAGATATGATGCTACCTGTAGGTTTTTCATAGACATCCTTTGTCAGGTGAGGAAACTCACTAATTTGCTGAATGCTGTTTATCAGGAATGAATGTTGAATTTTGTCAAATGCACGTTCTGTATCCATTGAGATGATCATCTGGTTTTTCCTCTATAGTTTTTTTTTTTTTTTTAAGATTTTATTTATTTATTTGAGAGAGAGCACAAGCTATGGGGGGGGGGGCAGGAGAAGAAGCAGACTCCAGGTTGAGTGGGGAGCTCAATGAGGAACTCAATCCCAGGACCCTAAGATCATGACATGAGCTGAAGGTAGATGCTTAACTGACTAAGCCACCCAGATGCCCCCTCCTCTACAGTTTGTTAATAATTTAGTTTGTTAATCTTGATTTTTGAACGTTAAATCAACTTTGCTCTCCTGGGACAAACTCCACTATTGCCCTTCTTAGCGTAATGTTGGATTTAATTTTCTAAATGTTTGTTAAGAATTTTTGTGTCAGGGCGGCCCCGGGTGGCTCAGCAGTTTAGCGCCGCCTTCAGCCCAGGGCCTGATCCTGGAGACCCGGGATCAAGTCCCATGTCAGGCTCCCTGCATGGAGTCTGCTTCTTCTCCCTTTGCCTGTGTCTCTGCCTCTCTCTTTCTCATGAATAAATAAATAAAAATTTTTTTAAAAAAAGAATTTTTGTGTCCATGTTTGTAAAAGATATTGGTTTATAGTTTTTTGTTATATCTTTTTCTGACTTTGGAGTCAAAGGTGATGCTGGCCTCAAAAAATGAGCTGGAAAGTGTTATCTCTTTTTCAATCTTCTGGAAGATCTTGAGCATAATTGTTATTTGTTATTTTTTTGCTTAGTTTGGCAGGATTCACCAGTAAAGCCATCTGGGCCTGTTGTTTCCTCTGTGGGAAGGTTTTAAACCACAACCTCAATTTCTTTCACAGATATAGGGCTAAGAATGTTATCTATTTCTTCTTAAGCAAGCTTTGCTAGTTCATAGCCTTCAGGAAATTTGTTAATTTCACCTAAGTTGTCAAATTTATTGGTAAAATGTTGCTCATAATATTCTTTTATCATTTTAATGTCTGTAGGATTGATAGTGATGCTTCCTTTTTCACTCTTGATATTGGTAATGTGTCTTTCCATTTTTTTCTCCTAATCAGTACATCTATAAATTTATAAATTTTATTGTCTTCTCAAAGAACCATGGATTTTCTTGATCATTTTCTATTTTTCTGACTTCTGTTTATTGTTTCTTTTACTTACTTTAGTTTTAATTACCTCTTTTTTTTCTGGTTTCTAAAGGTGGAAGCTGATATATTGAATTTGAGATTGCCTTCCTTTCTACCGTAATCACTTAATGAGATGTTTCTCTTGAATCTCTAGCTTCATCCCACAAGTTTTGATATGTCATTTTTTAAAATTTTCATTCAATTCAAAATATTTTCTAATTTCCTTTGCGATTGTTTCTTTGGCCCAGGGGTTATTTAGAGTGTGCTGTTCAGTGTGAAGTTTTCTAGATATTCTTCTGCTACTGATTTCTAATTTCTCTCCAAGAGGATCCAAGTACATACTTTATATAATTTGAATTTTTAAAAGTTTATTACACGTGAAGCAAGGCTAGAGACCCATGGGATCCTGTTGATGGGGAAGTGTGATCTTTATCATGAGCCACTAAAGGGTTTTAAGCAGATAGGGGATTTGATTTGAATTGTGTTTGATTGGTCTAGTGTGCGTCGGATTTAGGGAAATGGGGATATTTGTGGCTTGAGGCTTCCCTGAATCATCCAAAGAGAATGGACAGTTGTCTAGAGGGTCTGGCTCTCCAGGGAAGGGTGTGGGAGTAACTCTGTGACATGGCTGCAGATGAGGGTGAGGAGACTGAGGTGCAAGAAAGAGCTTTAGACTGGGAGCCCAGCCAGAGCTCAGCCGTGTGACTCCAACCAAGCATGTCACTCCACCTCTCTGAGCTTTTGTTTCCTCACCTCTAAAGTAGGTGGTCAGTCTCAATGATCCCACAGTTTTAGCATCATGGGCTGCTGTCAGCACAGGGAGGATCTTTGTGTGAATTAGGCAAAGGTGTGACTACTTGAGACAAAAAAACAAAGGGTCCCCTGTGTTGTGAGGCCTCAAATAAAGGCCTAATACTGTATGCTGCCTTGACATGTAGGGAAATCAGGAGGGTCTTGATTGATAGAATTGCAAGCCCTGCCCCAACTGCTCCTGTCGTTAGAGTTCCCATAGCAAACAACACTTTTAGCAACCAGGTGCCATTCCTGTTACTCCTGAGCAGGGGGCTTCAGTTCTCTGTCCATGCGTGGGATTCCTTGGACAAGCCAATCACATCCTCCCTCGGGAATAGGGGTCACTCTGCCTTCTTGGTGTTACAAAGTCTGCCTCCCACAGCCCCTGCTAGTTCACGCTGTTTCTGTGTGTGGCACTGCTCCCCCTGGGCTGTGAGTACTCTAAGTAATGAACACAACAACTGGTCTCAGCTGTCCAGTGTTAGACCATCCCATAATCACAGGCAGGAAGCTTTCCCTTGCCAACGGGTATGTAGGAGGCGATGAACACAACTTCTGGGCCAGTGCAGCCTAGGTGGATTTCAGCCTCCACAGGTCTCCTCAGCTAGTGCCTTGGGCAGAGGACAACCTGAACACCTGTACCTGGCAGTTCTGTTAGCAGGTTCTATCTGTTAGACTCTTGTCTGTGCTAAGATCTGTTAACCCTATCACCCTCCCCCTGCCCCCCCGGGGTAGGTTCCATGATTATTTCCATTTTACAGATGAGGACTCTGGTGGAGGAGAGACCCCGGGACCCAGATCAGTCCAGATCCTTCCCCAACACCCCCTCCCCCCGCTTTTTTTTTTTTTTTTTGTTTAAAGATTTTATTTATTTGACAGAAAGAGAGAGCACAAGCAGGGGAAGCAGTAGGCAGAGGGAGAGGGAGAAGCAGACTTTCTGCCAAGCAGGAAGCCCAATGTGGGGCTTGATCCCAGGACCCTGGGACCATGACCTGAGCTGAAGGCAGATGTTTCATCACCTGAGCTTCCCAGGATCCTTGCCCCCGGATCCTTCCCTTTCTGTCCTATGATCTGCTCTGGTAGATCAGAGGTAAGAAACCTGCAGCTCCCAGCTCAGTGAAGTGAGTCAGGAGTTCTGAATGAAGGTGTGAAGATGAGAGCCTGGCAGGGGTTAACGGGCCATCCTGTTAACCGGCCAGGGTCTGCAGGCCTGAGGTTGGGGGAGCATCTGACCAGGATGTAGGGGAAGAGAAGTGAGTGGGAAAGCAGCCTTCAGCCTCAGTGGATGGCAATGCTGGCGCTCAGCCCAGCAGCCTGGCACCGGCCACGCCAGACCCTCAGGAGTCTCCAAACTGCTTCCACCCCTCCACTGGAGAGAAGGCAATTCCCTTCATAGAGATCTTTAGCCAAAGAGGCTCCACACAGGCAGAGTTGCTAGAACCAGGTACTTTCTGTAATGATCACCTCTTGACGCTTGCCCCTGGCAGCTGCTGATTTCCTGGAATTATCGAAAGACAGAGCAGTGGTGTGTGATGAGACGACAGCTCAAGGCTCAGAGGGCAGAAGTGGGGGATCAAATCTTATGAGCACATAAGCTCCATGAGATTAGGGTTTGCTTTTCTGCTGGGTCCCCAAAGCATAAGACAGTGCCTGAAACATAGTAGGTGTTCAAAAAAGTAAAAGAGTAAGTCCTGCTTCCCTGCTTCTTAGCTGAGTGTCCTCAGGCAAGTTACATGACCTCTCTGTGGCTTCATTTTCTTGGCAGTGAGATCGAACATAACAGTACCTCATAGGGTTGTTTGGATTAAGTAAGATTGAAGCAGCAGGCGTCCCCTGAGTACCAGAGCACCAGCTGTTAGTATTGGTATTCAAGATTTTATTTATTTATTTGTTTGAGAGAGAGAGAAGCAGACTCACTGCTGAGCTCGGAGCCCGACCCAGGGTTAGATCTCATGACTCTGAGATCATGACCTGAGCCGAAGTCAAGAGTCGGACGCTCTACCGGTCAATCGACTGAGTTGCCCAGGCACCCCCATCCTTTGTTCCTGCTCAGCCTGTTGACACCCCATGACCACGCTCACCCGGGACACAGCAGCCACACTCATGGGGCCTGTGCGGTGGGCTAGACCCTGTTCTCAGTGCTTTAATATAATAGCTTCAATTCGAAAACAGCTCTTTGAGCTTGGCTGGGTTTTGTTTTAACCTCCATTTTGCAAATGAGGAAGCAGAATATCGTAGTGATTCTGGCCATGACATAAACTTGAGGAATGCTCCCTCATTTCTGTTCTCTCAAAGAATGGTGTGAGGGTAGCATGACCTGTTCCAGAACTGAGCTGTTGGTCTGCCTGCCTGGGCCTGGGATGCCTTGTGGCAGTCAGGGCTGGCTCCACTCTCTTGGGTGAGTTGGGTAAGAGAGGTAAGCACATGCCCAGGTAGGAAGGATTCAGTCCCAGGTAGTCTGGTGGCAGAGGCAGGCTCATCGTCTCTACATTTCCCTGCCTAAGGGACGATGGCTTTCTACCTGTACGACCTTGAATCATCCCTTCATCTCTCTGAGCCTCTGCTAAACGGGGATGGGAATAGTGTCTTCCTGGCAGTGTGCTATGACGATTACACCAATTACACGATTATGTGGTTTCAGACACAAGCCTTATGCCCCCCCGGGTCGTTGCCCTGAGGCACCAGGATCACTGTCAGCACTCGCACTCGGCAAACTGGAGCTGCTGGTGCCATCTGGATGACAAGCCCGGCCCAGCTCCTGTCTCGGTGTCATCTAGCATGTCTCCCTGACCCTTGGGCTCTCCTGTCTGGGGGCTGTGGGGAGGCGCCCCCCACCTCCACAGCCCTGCCCAGCTACCTCCCAGAAGCCCAGCCCTATACTCCCAGGGTGGCCAAGGATCACTCACTGGCTCTCCAGGTCCTGGATGGTGTCAGGAAGTGGAAGTCCCTGGGTCTCCGGGAGGAAGAGCAGGAGGATGAGGCTGGAAGCGATGGGAATGACACCATAGGAGATGGGGGCCAACAGGGGCAGGGCCTGGCGAGTCAGCCTGATTAGGGGGCCCAACACAGCCCCCAGACGACCTGCCGACTGCAGGAAGCCATCTGCTGTCATCCTGTGGGTGGAGGAAGGGGGTCCAGACCCATGTAACAGCCATCACTTTCAAGAAGGGGGCTTTACTAGATGGGGGGGGGGCATGTGGCTGGTCCAAGATGTGCCAGGGGAGGGAAAGTTGGGTGGAAGGAGCTGCACTCCTTGAAGTCTCTTCTAACACCACCTCCTCCATGGAGCCCACCTAGATTTTCCCTCTGCTTCCTGAGAACATCCAATCCAGTCCTTTCATGGACTCTGTAGGACCCACCCCATTCTCCCTGGTCGGCTGCATGTTCCCGGATGCCCAGCCCCTCCTTGTCCTCCCCACTGGCCTTCCCAAGGATGTCCCCTTCTCTCCTGCCCGGGGTCTGACCGCCTTTCCTGGGTGCAGCATGCAGCTCAGCCTACCGCAGTACAGTTGGGTAGAGTTCAGGCTTGTAGACAGAGATAGAGGTTAAGCTTATGCCAAAGCATCCTTTTCCCAGCACGGCGAAGGCCACGCGCAGGGTCTGCAAATCTGGGCAGAGGAAGAGGGTTGCAGTGGCGTCCGCCGGGGGGTGGGGGGGGGTGGGGGGGTGGTGTTCCCAGTCGGCCCAGAGCAGAGGCGCTGGGTCCTCCTGCCAGGCTTCTTTGATCTTACGCAGGCGCCCTGCAGTGCTAACTGGGTGCCAACCAGGGCTGAAGGGGCTGCGGGTGCAGGAGGACATCGCGGTAGGTGGGCTGGAGGCGGCGGGGCCAGAACCCAGCTAGGTCTGGGGTGGGGGAGCTGGAGTGGTAGAGGATGGCTCCTGGGGCCTGCTCCCTACAGTGCCACTGTGCTGGGGCCCTTTGGGTCCTGGGTGTGCTTCCTCCCATGATGGAGAGGGTCATGAGCCGTCCTTCCCCCTGCCCTCGGCCCGCCTGTGGGAACTCTGGTTTTTGCGGGGAGCCCTGGCCAGGAAGCCGAGGCCCACTCCACACTCCGCCAAGGATGCTGGGCCTCAGCTTTCCCTGAGGAAAGGGATTACACCACACGTTGTTGTAATGAAGAGTCTCATGAACTGTCACACATTTGTCTTTGCAAGCTTTCTCCGAGCACTGCCTCTTGCTACTTGTTTAGGAGGCCATCCTTCCTTGGCCTCCCTCCAGGCTTTGCTATCAGAACTCACGTCCCTGCTCCTCCACCTGGCCTTGAGACATAAAAGGAGACTTGAGAGGGTTTTCAGGGCATTATAGCCTCATTCAGAAAGAAAACACTAAGGCAAGGGCCCTTACCAGCAATTGGCACACAAATGCCTCCTGCTTCTTGAACAAGGGAGAAGAAAGTCACCACGGCCACCAAGCTGGGTGTTCTTGCCTCACTTCAAAGCAACCTAAAGGGCAGCCCTGGTGGCTCAGAGGTTTAGAGCCACCTTCAGCCCAGGGCGTGATCCTGGGGGCCCCCCCGGGAGTCCCACGTGGGGCTCCCTGCATGGAGCCTGCTTCTCCCTCCACCTGTGTCTCTGCCTCTCTCTCTCTGTGTCTCTCATGAATAAATAAATCTTAAAACAAAAACAAAGGACAGCCCTGGTGGCGCAGCAGTTTGGCACTGCCTGCAGCCTGGGATGTGACCCTGGAGACCCGGGATCAAGTCCCACATCGAGCTCCCTGCATGGAGCCTGCTTCTCCCTCTCCCTGTGTCTCTGCCTCTCTCTCTCTGTGTCTATGAATGAATGAATGAATGAATGAATGAATGAATAAATAAATAAATAAATAAATAAATAAATAAATAAAATCTTTAAAAAATAAAAATAAAAAATAAAACAAAAACAAAAACAAAAACAAAACAAAGCAACCTAAAGCTCCTCACAGCTTCCTCAGCCCTTCCTCCCCCCTCAGGCCCAGCCTCTGGCTCAGAAGTCTGGTCCCAGCCCTGGCCCTGTCACTGGCTACCTGAGTGACCTGCAGCACCTGGCTTTAGCTCTCTAAACCTCAATTGCCTCAGGGGAACAGGTGGGGGGCCGGTGAAGGGAGGGTTGGATGCCTGAGCTTGATGTGGCCAAGTTCTTGGGACCTGGGGAGGGGGAGGATCCCAGGGGGCGAATGCAGTGGGGGTGGGGGGCAGGGAAGCCAGTGCCCCAGGCCCTCAGCTAACTCCTCAGCCCACTCAGGTCACCCCTCCATGCTGCCTTGGCCTCACCTTGGGGGACCAGTATGTTGGCCAGGATGGAGAGGCCAGCTATGGTCTGGAAGCTGGCCAAGGTCATGCGGCGGCCCAAGAAGCTGAGCAAGAAAGTGGTAGTGGCCCGGGCCAGTAAGTCCACAGCTCCGAAGAGGACCTGGAGGAGGAAGATGTCACTCCCCAGGTTTTGCAGGTCAAGGACCAGCCCGTAGTAGGAGATCATCTGGGAGAAGCTGTAGGGCAAAACCAGAAATCAGAACCCTGTCCCACAGGGGAGAGGGTACCCCTGCAGTAACGTCACACCTGGGCTGTCCCAGAGGGCACAGGCCATTCTGCACAGGTCACTGCTGGACCCAAAACACCCGTCTTCAGAATGCAGGACGCACTTCTCTAGAGTGAGGCCAGCCCAGAAAAAAAAGGGCAGGCTTCATTCATTCATCCTTAGCTGGTCACTTCTCAGGATCCCTGGCCACCAGCCTGCGGGGACACTTAACTCTCTGGGCTGACAGGCTGTGTGGGTCAAGCTGAGCTCTAGGTCTGGCCCTAGCACCCTCTGGCTCTGCTTCCAGTCACGGCCTCAAACCATGAGCTGGCCCCAGCTCTGCTAGCCATGAACCTGCGGGAGTCTCTGCCCCTTCCTGGATGCCAGTTTCTTTATCTTGAAAGATGAGATTAATAGTACAATGAGGTGGGCTGTGTTGTCCTTTTTCCAGGATGGAGAATCTTATTTTCCTAGCCTCTGGGAGTACTACCTCTCGGCAGGGGAGAACATCCCATGACATAGGCCAGAGTGAATGGATCAGAAGGGCCACCCCAGCTCCTTGAGCCCTCCATGGCCTTGCTGTGACAGTCCCACCAGGACTGCTCCCCTGCTCTCTTCCCTTCCCCAGCCTCCCCATCCCAGTCCACAGGAAGTGATCCCAAGAGCCCTCTCCAATGAACTTCCTGCTCACTGAACTCCATCCCAAGTCTGCTGGCCAGTGGGTGAGGGGGGTGGACATGAGACAGACCACCTGGCCACTGGCTCCAGAGTTCCTGAAGCTGAAATTTACAGTAGCTGGATTTCAGCAGTTTGGAAATTGAATTTGGATCCAGCAGTGGCCACAATGTGAGATAATTCCCTATTGCTTTTCAAATTGCTTCCCATTGCTCACCTCAGCCCTCCCCTCGGGCCGCACCTGAGCGCTGCACCCAACAGGCATCTGACACCACCTGCCAACAGCTGCAGACTAAAGCTGCAGTCCCCGAGGAAACAGCAGCGTTTCCTGAAGTTTGTGGAAGTCACGTGGGGGAGGGGCTCAGCTCTGGCTCAGAGTAGTTGACACCGAGGACCTAGAGCCAGTACCAAAGGGGTTAACAGTGGGAGTCAAAAACCCACCAGGTGAGCCAATACCCAGCTTGTGATTTGAATAACAATGGATGTGGAGTAGCCCCTGGGAGCCCAGAGGAAGCCTTGCAGGTTTTGAAAGAAAGGCCCGGGACATTCCTGGCACCAGGCACTCCTCACTTGTCAGAACTTAACCCAGGAAAAAAAAAAAAAGGCATTTGATCCATTCTCTATTCTAAGATGTAGCAAATATTTGCCATTAGAACCCATATGTGGTTAAATATAGCATGAAATAAACACTTTCCTAATCTTTAGTTTTATTTCAAGAGCAAGTATCCATCAAACCTGACCCTGACTTCTCAGTGTGCTCTCTGCAAGTCATTGGAACTGAATTTGTTTTATTAAGGGGCCTTCTCCTGGTCCCAGGTGCCTGTGGGTGCCAAGACCAGGCCTGCTGGGGATTCCCTGCTCCCTGTGGGCCTGGTGGGTGGCCTAGGGCAAGGAGGTAGCTCAGCCAAGTTTCAAATCCTGTCCTGCCGTCTTGGGCAAGTGACCTGCCCTGCTAGGCCCTGCCCTGCCGTCCCATCTGTAAATGAACTTGAGGAAAGTGGGCCAGTGGCCCTCTTCAGTGGCTACCGAGGGTCCCCCAGCTCTAGAGACAGAGGCTCAGCCCCTAGCCTGGGCTTCAGCCTGCCCCTGCCCCTGCCCTCCAGCTGGCTTCCAGCAGGAGCCCCATGGCTCTCCACAGTGCCTGCGGGGACTCCTGCCTCCTGGGGAGCAGGCCAACCAGGAATGAGGCCCAGCAGGAGTTGTCCCCCCCCACTCCCGCCACCCCTGCTCCGCCATCCCCCACTCCCCCTATCTCCCCCAACACAGTACAGGCTGCTTTTAGGCCACAGGCCTGGGCAATGAAAGCCCCAGCAAGGTAGAAGCCCACAGCGACCACCAGGCTGAATGCAAACAGGCCCATCGGCAACGCCCCCCCATACAGCTGTAAGCCCTAGCTGACCCATCAGCCCAGGAAAAAAGTAAAGTTCCACAGCTTCCCCTACCTCCTCCCCTCCCGGTTAACTCCAGCTCCCCCTCACCTCCAGGCAGACGTCTCTCCTCCGACGTCCTGCCGGCTGCTCCCCTGCAGTGTATTCAGTAAACCCCTAACTCCTTTGCTCTGCCTTGGGGCACTCTTTCACCGCCCTGGGCCCTGGCCGCTGGCCTCCCCGGATCCAAACGCCCCCTCCGTCCTCAGCCCTGCCTCTGGGAGGGGTGAGCAGGGTGGCGTACCTCACCAGGAACATGCTGCAGCTTCGCCAGCGGAGCACGGGCACGAGAAACAGGTCCAGCACTGACTTGCGGGCCTTCGAAGAGGCCACCTCCTCCTCCATGCTAGTCATGAGCACCTGCGGGGAGGATGGGGCGTGGCGAGGGGTGGGGGGGCATCGGCCCGCGCTCGCGCTGGGAATGGTGTCCAGGTGGGCAGAGTGATGGGAGGAGCCCGGCCTTGGCTTCAGGAAACGGGAGAGCCTTGGGGTGGGGGCAGCGATGGAGAAGGCAAGATTTCTCTCTGTTTTTTTTTTTTTTTTTTTTTAACTCCCCGCTGAGCAGGGAACCTGCCGTGGGCCTCCATCCCAGGACCTAAGCAAAGGCAGATGCTTAACCAGAGCTCTCTTCTGCGGACCTGGCCCACCTACCCTGAGCTAAGGAGCCAGTCTCACGTTGCAGCTCTGGCCCTCTGAGCTGCCGGCTGCAGGCTGCTCTTGGCAGTTACTACACAAAGCCCTGCCCACCCTGTTCTTCATGGCTGGCATCAGGGCGCGCCTCCCCCTCCAGCCACACTGGCACCCCACTGCCCCAAAGTGCCCATCCAGACTCTTCCTGCACCCCTGGGCCCTGCCTGCCCTGTGCTCAGCTCAGTCTTGGTCAGCTCACTTCGTCCTGGAAGCCTTCCCCAATCCTCCTATCCCTATGCTGTTTTCTTGTTTCTGACCGTACATCCTCCCACATCTACTTCCTTGAAATAATTACCGTCAGATGGGCACATCCAGTTTTCCAAACACTGAAAAGCCCTGTGAGGTGAGCATGCACTGTGTGTGGTTGAAAGCAGCGGACAGGGAGGCGAGGTGGGTTGTTACTGCTGTTATTGGAGTGGATAGCAGTGAAGTTGATGGTAAGACATAAGTGACTGTCCTCTCCCTGTCACGTCCCCCATTTTGGGTCACAAACAGTAGTATCTCACCTCTACAGTCAGTGACTTCGTGGCTTCCTTGTGGCCATTTATCCTGGACACCTTTTTGAGCTCCCGAAGCGCTTGTTCTGGTTTGCCCATGATAATCAGCCATCGGGCAGACTCTGGCAGCCACCTGTTAAAGAAGCAGATGCTTGGAATGCCTGGGTGGCTCAGTGGTTGAGCATGTGCCTTCAGCTCAGGTTGTGGTCCTGGGGTCCTGGGATCGAGTCCCACAATGGGTTCCCTGCGAGGAGCTTGATTCTCCCTCTGCCTGTGTCTCTGCCTCTCTCTGTGTCTCTCATTAAAAGGAGAAAGAGAAGGAGAAGGAGAAGAAGAAAAAGAAGAAGTAGAAGAAAAAGAAGAAGCAGAAGCAGCAGCTTGCCTGGGCCTCTGCTTTCTTCCTGCATCCTGGGCCTTCCTCGCCAGGTCAGAAGGGGAAGGGAGCAGCTGCTCCCCCAGCTGCAGTGGTTGAGAGACGCCAGCCTCTCTCCCCTCTGCACTGCTAGGGCCAGGCTGGCAGACTGGCAGTCCCTCATGCTTTCAGAATAAAGCTGAGTCCCAGGGCCTGGCCGCCCTCTTTGCCCCTCGCCACTCCATCCGGCTTCCTGGCTGCCAGGAGCCGGCCTGCCTGAGCCTCGCATACAGCCAGTGCACGGGCTGCCTGGACATACAGTGGTTCTGAGCCCATTTCTATGACAGAAAGCTCACATCATGCTAAATTTAAGACACACACACTAAAAACATCCCCAGCCAGAACTGCGTGGTTTTATGAATGTAGTCTGCTTCTTCCCAGCCTCATGGTAGGGAGGGGCATCTCCTGGGTGAAAGGACTGGAGTTTCCCCAGCCTAGCAGGCTCAGGGAAGCTAAGAATTGTAGGGAAGCTAAGAATTTCCGGAGGCATAGTGGTTCAAAGAGGCGGCCTGCTGGGGTTCAAATCCTGCCTCTGGCACTTACCAGCTATGTGGCCTTGGCCAAGTCATTGAACCTCTCTGAGCCTCAATCCCTCATCTGAAAATGGTGGTCACTGTATCATCTTCCTCACTAGAAGTTAATACACATCTGGTATGACCTCCGGCCCCTGGGATGCACCCAACCAGTGTGACCAGAGTGGCCTAATTAAGTGTGACTATGGGATGTCTCTCTCCTTACTTACTGATCCTATTGCTATGATAAAACTCCTCAAGATCAGTGACTTTTGATCTGTTTTGTCTGCTGACGTGTCCCCATGACCTAAAACCATGTCTGGCTCAGGGCAATAAATACTCGAGAATGAACGAATGAGTCCTTGCTACTCTCTAAACCGCACAGTTGACTTGGTGCAGGTCTGCCCAACCCTGGTTCACGGACACAAGAACAACTTACAGGGTTGTGAATTTGTGTCTGTTTCCTTATCTCTGCCCCCAGCCCTCACCCAAGCAAGTGTTGCCAGACCTCAAGGAGTTTTGCAGCACTCCAAATAATCGTGATAATGGTATCTTTTCACATCCAACACCAGTCCTCACTGACTCAGATGCCCAAGGGCGGGCAAGTGATGGGGCTGGCAGGTGGGGGGCAACTGGTGCCGAGGAAGGGCAGGCCCGGGGGCCAGTGGGCCAGCTGGGAGCCTCAGACTTCCGGCTAAAATGCCCACCCTGGAACTCTGAACCTCCAAGATGTCTCTCCTTAGCAGGGGCTCTGCACACATCGTGGCTCGCCATGGCTCTCCGCATCTCGGGATCCCCCACCAGCTAGGGCGGTGGGGGTGAGGGACACCCTGGCACTCCCCAGCCTCCCTCCTATCTAGTGATGTTCTCCCCAAGGGAGAAGGCCCCACACTGTACCGACCAGGAGATCAGGAAGATAGCAAAGAAGGGCGTCGACATGGCCAGCTGGAGGGCTCGCCAGTCCCGCAGGACGAATGCCATGGCCCCCAGGGTCATCTGGCCCAGGCTATAGGAGCATCCCACGATTGTTATGGTGACAGCCCTTCTGCGGGTCGTGGTCCACTCCGCCACTGAAAGCCGATGCAGACATGCAGGTAAGGGCCTCGCAGTGACCTTGAGCCCCATCCTCCCCACCCCACAGTGGCAGGTGCAAGCCGAGCAAGGACTCACCAAGTGTCACTGAGATCATGATGATGCCGGCCACTCCAAAAGCACTCAAAAACCGGAGGCCACAGTAGATGAGGAAATTGGAAGCAAAGATGGTGCTGGTGTTGGCCAAAGCCACCTGCAGGCAGCACCAGCTCAGCATCGGCTTCCGCCCAAACCTGTGTCAAGAGACAAGCACCGTGGGGACCTGGGGTGGGGCCCTAGGGACTTGGGCATAGAGGACTTCCTCCCTTGTGCTTCGAGGGAAAGGAGGGTTCAAGAGGATGGGGTGCCTACCGGGGCCCAGCACCGTGCGCCCAGTGTGCTTGTTATAAAAATGACCTCATGGTCAAGAATGGGCTTTGGTTGGGATGCCTGGGTGGTTCAGTGGTTGAACATCTGCCTTTGGCTCAGGTCTTGATCCCAGGGTCCTGGGTTGGAGTCCTGCATCAGGTTCCTCGCAGGGAGCCTGCTTCTCCCTCTGTCTATGTCTCTGCCTCTTTCTCTGTGTCTCTCATGAATAAATAAATAAAATCTTAAAAAAAAAAAGAATGGGTTTTGGTTGAATCACTGTATTTTTTTAAAAAGAGATTTTATTTATTTATTCATGACAGACAGAGAGAGCGAGAGAGAGAGAGAGAGGCAGAGACACTGGCAGAGGGAGAAGTAGGCTCCATGCAGGGAGCCCGATGTGGGACTTGATCCAGGAACTCCAGCATCACGCCCTGGACCAAAGGCAGGCACTAAACCACTGAGCCACCCAAGGATACCCGAATCACTGTATTGTACAACCAAAACTAACATTACAATGCATGTTCACTAACTGGAATTTAAATAAAAAGTTAAAGAAGATGGACCTTGGCATCAGAAGCTGGGTTTGAGCCCAGCTCTGTCCTGTCTGGGTTGACCTGGAGCACACAGCTCCATGTCTCTGAGCTGCTGTGAAATGGGGGGTGTGCATGATGACAGCCTCCCAGAGTGGTGACAATCATGATGGTGAGGAAGGGGGCTGCATCAGTCAGCTCCTCATCAGCCTGCGCAAGGGGACCCGAGCTCTGGGGGAGACCACCTCAGCTCTCCACCTGCACACTCACTGTGCTGCTACTGCCCCGAGGCTGGCTCAGCCCAAACCACCTGCATTTAGCTAAACCGTGTGTCAGTCCATGAGATAGATGTGGGCAAAGCTCTGCCCTGCCTGTCTGAGCAGTGCCCAGGAACAAGGACATCTAGCCCAGACCCAGGGCCAGGTCGGGATGCTGACTCCTGGCCCTGACGCCGGGCTTACTGGGTAACCTGTGGACCGCCGGGGATTTGGCTCCCTGTGTGGACAGCCTCTGGGGAATGAGCCATATAGCTGCACGGCAGCTGGTCCTCTGAAAGCGCCACCTGGACCATGTCCTTCCCTGCTGCCCCAGCTCCCCACCACATTCGGGATAAAATAAGGCCCGCAAATAACGATGGTAGCAGAGCCACAGCCGAGCCAACCCCGTGCCAGGCCCTGGCCCAAGCTCTGTATGTGATTAATTAACCCACAACAACCCCATGGATAGAGCCAGGTCCCCACTTACAGGAAGAAACTGAGGCACAGAGAAACCACGAACCCGCCTTCTAGGGAGCTGGGCAAAGAGGGGCAGGGATTAGAAGCTAGTGGTCAGATCCCCCAACCCAGGGCCCGCAGGGTCAGGAGAAAGTTGGGAAGCCATTCACTCATTCACAAAATAATGATTGAGGGCATTCCGTGTGCCGGATGCTGGGGTCACAGCACCAAAGCCCCTGCCGCCTTGGAGCTGTGTCTTGAGGGGACACACACAGTAGATGAGCTAGCAGGTGAGTGAGCAAGTACTGCCAGAGTGGGTGCAGTGATAAAGGAGAGAAGGCTCAGGGTTGGTGCCTGGGCCAGGGCGGGGCCTCCAGCTTTTGGTGGGAGGAGGCTGCCCTGGGTTGAGGCCTACATACTTGGCATTAAGAAACCATGGGAGAACCTGCAGAGCAAGGCACGGCCACCGACCCCTGGCCACCAACCACCTCAGAGCTCTGCACTCCCCGGATGCCGAGGGCGCTCCCAGGGGGGGCTGGCAGGGCTGTGCAGGAGAAGCTGAGTGCCAAGCAGGGGTGGGTGAGGATGGGGGAGAGGCAGAAACTTCCTCAGGGCAGTGGCCCTGGAGGACTTTAGGCTGGCATCAACCAGATCCATATAAGTTTCTACAAAGTCACTCTGAATGGAGGCAAGAGACCCTTGAGGGGGCCAGGGCCTTCCCTGGGCCAGAAAGGCAGGTGGCGTGGCCAAGGCGACGGTATGGAGGAGCGAGACGTGGGGCTAGGGGGTGTTCTGTGGGGCTGGGGGTGAGGGCAGGAGCACAGGGCTGGCTCCCGGGGTTGGGTGTGTGCCATCTGCTGGGGGGCTGTTTTCCTGGATGGAGTCTGGTGTGGAGGGGCTGGCCGTGGGGAGTCAGTAGTCCAGCTTCAGCTGCGGCAAATGTGAGGCAAATGCCCCTCCACGTGGAAACTCCAAACAGGCAGCTGGGTTTACAGCAGAGTGGCAGGCCTGGAGTAGTGGGGTGTGCAGCTGGCCAAGAGAAGGTATGGGGCTAGGTCCTGGGGGCACCACCTCAGAAGGATGAGGGGCAGAAAGGGGAAGAGCCAGAGGAGGGGAGGAGAATTTCTATTTCACAACATGTAATATACTTGGAGTTGGAAGAATATACTCACCGGTCAGAGAGGAGGCCCCAGAAGACAGACCCCATCAGGACCCCGGCCATGTAGATGGACTGGCCCATGGGCTTCAGGCCCTGGTATTCACACACTAGGTCCCACTGGAAGAGAAGGGGGGCACAGCAGCTTGGTTCAGGGGCTGTGGACTAGCAGAGCCTGGCTGGCAGAGGGAGGTCCAAGTTGGGAGGTCCCTGCCAGGAGCACTTACTTGGTCAGCCTGGGTCCTGGGGGAGGGGGGTGCCCCAGAGTCCTAGGGCCAGGCGACAGAGGTAGAAGGGGTGTGCTGACAGGGGCCCCAGCTCTGTCCTCCCAGCTAGCTGCATGGCACACATGTGACACAGCCACTTGGGACGGCGGTGGTGGGCAGGGGTGGGGGGTAGCTGAACTACAGGCTGGGAGTTCTAACTCTGCTGATCGCTGGCTGGGTGAGTCTGGGGAGGTCCTGCACCTGGCTGAGCCTGTTTTCTCACCCAGAAGCGGGGCTGTGCAGCTGCTTCCCTCACAGGGCCGCCAGGATGGGCAGAGATTGCTGAGCACGTGTCACCATAATTTCTGAGTGCCTCCTGCCCAGGCCAGGGCATCCATCGCCTGAACAGCCCCCACCAGGCAGCCCTACAGTAAGGCCTCACAGCTTTGCTCCATTTCTACCTTTCCACCTCTCTTGCCAGGGCCACTGCTGCAGGAGTCCCCTTTCCCCCAGGACAAAGTGATCTCTGGAAAATGCAAAGCAGATCACTCACTTCCTTGCCCCAAACCCTCCTGTGACTTTTCTTTGCACTTGAAGAAAGTGCTCTTCATCCACCTTCCCCCGCCTCGTGGCCTAGCCCCTGACCTTTTGTGCCCAGACACACCGGACCCCCTTCTGCTCCTTCAATACCCCAGACCTGCTCCTTCTTGGACTTCTGTCCCCAACCAGCTTTCTCCCCACTGTCATGTGCCTGATTCCTTGTCTCCCAATCCAGGTCTCACCTCCTGAGAGGCAGGATGGGACGTGATGGAGACCCAGACTCTGGATCCTGATGGTCTGGGCTGAGCCAGGTTCTGGAGGGTTCGAGCTGTGTGTCCTGGGCAACTGATTTCACCTCACTGTGCTTCTGTTTTGTTCTTTACCAGATGCAGACTGTAACAATCCCCCCACCCCCATCCGCTCATGACATGGGAGTGAGACTATGGGGACAGCATCCAGAATAGAGCCTGCAGCTCTCCCGTTAGTGTGGGTTTAAGTGTTGATTCTGAATCTGCCAGCAGAATGTAAGCTCCTCCAAGGCTCCCTGCTTCTCCTGGAACTCTAGCCTGCGATCAGGGTCTGGGCAGTGAGCAAATATGTGGGGAGGGAGTAGTGCCAATGGAAACCATTCGATCCTTCCAGGCATGGGTGGGTGGCCATCACTGGGGGGTCAGCTAAGAGAGCCGTGGGGTTGGTGGAGGGCGGCCCTTACCTCCGACACGATGGTGGAGGTGAAGGTGCTGTGGTCATACACCCAGCCGTCCACGCACGGCTCCGTGGCAGCCTCGCTCCAGTTGGTGGCCGTGGCGTTGGGGTCCAGGAGCTGCCACTGTGGTTGGCGGAAGCGGAGACACTGGTGGGGCTCGTGGTTAGGGCCTGGTGGGATGGAGATGGTCAGGAGGGCCTCGGAGGTGAGGTTTGCAGGCGCCTCAGAGCTATTGTCCAGCACATGGGCCCAGCAGCGGTGGCCGGGGATGGCAGCAGAGAAGTTCTCCATCAGCAGCTGGGGAGGCACCAAGATGGAAGGGAGCAGGAGAGTGAAGACCTGCAGGGCCTGGAAGAGACCCCCTCCCCCTGCGCGCTCCAGGAGCTCAGCAAACGCCATGGATAGAGCTGCAGGTGGCTATCCTGGGACCAGGGAGCCAGCGAGGGTCCAGCTACTGCCAGGAACCCCTAACAAGCCTAGGATCCCTGGGCCATCAGACCTTCCACCCGCACTAGCAGGCAGCTGGGGTGGGACAGCGGGCTAGCCACCGGCAGTCAGTCCCGAGATGCCCGGATGCTTTGCAGAAACGCCTCCTCATCACCCTCTTTCCTGGAATGACCACTTGGGTGCCCCACCCCTCCAGAGAGGGGACACTGGGGACAAAGCTCACTGTGCCCCGGCTGCCTGGGGCATCAGTGGGGCCCTGGTTCTCCAGCACCAAGAGTAAAAGATCAAGCAGGTGTGAAAAAAATAAGATGCAATGTGCTGCGATGTTACTGAGTTACAGTTGTGGAGGGAAATAGCACTCGGCCTCGGCCTTGGTTAAAGTTTAATCTTAGCCTGGGCTCCTGGGCAGGACAGGCAGGTCTCGCTACCGCTACCGCTACGAGGGAGGCTGCCGCAGCTCTCTGCTGGGGGGCTGCTCGCATTCCTGAATCCCAACTCTCAATCCTTTAAATCAGGAAACTGTTGGCCTCAACTTCACTCATGCTGGACTACGAGATTTCAGCCTGTTTTGCTAAAGCCCGGAGGCTTCAGGGAAGTGGGTAAGCTCCAGGTGGGATGGAGCTGGCGAGGGCCCCCTGCCGCGCCCCCAGCCTGTGCTCACTGCCTCCTTTCTGCACCCCTCCCGCCAGGCAGCTGGCAGACACATTATTTGGGGAAGCTTCTATTTCAAGGTTCCAGGCTGCCTTTATTAGACTGGACGCTCCCCCAGGGTGGAAAGCATGGCTATGATCTCCTGACATCCCTTCGAAGCCCCTCTTGGGCCTGGAGCTGAGCAGGGGTGCAGACAGGGAAAGAGTGAAATCAAGCCTCCCCGCCCCTGTATCTAACTCAGGCCCAGCTCAGTGTGGGGGAAGGCAGCCCCCTCCCCACCACTCCCCCTAGGCTGAGCCTCTTGGTAGCAGTGGTTCCTGGCACCGAGGGCTTGCTGTGTGCTCGGCTCTTCGGCTCTTCGCTGACCGTGCTGTCCATACCCTCTCCTCTGCTCCTCACAGCAACCCACAAGAGAGTTGTTGCTAATTCCTCTAGACAAAGAAACTGAGGCTCAGAGAAGGCAGGCAGCTTGCCCTAGCTCACACAGCAGAGCAGCGATTGGAACCAGACACCAAAGCCTGAGCTGTTTCCAGTGCCCCTGGCCAGCTGCCACATGGCCTCTGGCCTGTCAAGGTCCAAATCCCAGCTAAAGGCAGGAATTCGGGATTGGGGTCAGAATTAGGGCCAGCCAGGGAGCGGGAAGTCATCTCAGGCTATGAAAGGATGGGCTGGTCAGTTCCGGAGAGAAGTCTGATGAGTGCTAAAAGTGTGGGTGAGGTATGGGTAGGTGTCTGGACTCTGAACTTCCAAGAACCTCCCCAGAGGGCTTGCAGAACCTGGTCATTGTGGCAGAAGGCTGAGGAGCCAGGGTTCTGGGCCTGGATTTCAAAGCCAGGGCTGCTTCTATATTCGCCTCTCTGGGCAGGAACTCATTATGAATTTTTTTTAATTTTTATTAAGACTTTATTTGTTTATTCATGAGAGACACAGAGAGAGGCAGAGACACAGGCAGAGGGAGAAGCAGGCTCTCTGCAGGGAGCCCGATGTGGGACTTGATCCTGGGACCCCAGATCATGATCTGAGCCAAAGGAAGACGCTCAACCACTGAGTCACCCAGGCACCCTCATTATGAATTTTAAAATAGCGAATAGAGAGACGTGGAGAGAGAACCAACCCGTACTAGAGCAAAGGAGGCCATAAGCAAGGGGTCCATTGGGCACAGCCCTAGTGCAGGAGCCCGAAGGCTGAATCTCACAGAGAAAGGCTTTAGGCCATGGTTGTGCAAATATCATCCTCACAGGGGAAGGCCTGCTCCCCCTACCCCTGAGTCAGTGACTTTGAGGGCGCCCATTTCTGGCCCCTGATTTCTGGACCCTGAAAGGCAGTGCTGCCATGTTCGGGTTTCAAAACTGAGCATGAGTCAGAAACCATGGGAACACTGGCTGAAATGCAGTTTCCCAGGTCCTGCCACAAGGAGAGGCCCCAGAATTTGCATTTAAAAATAAGCCCCCAGATGATTCTGGGGCGCTGGGACCTGGCCTCACTTGGAGAACTGTGGGGCTAAAGGGAGCTGCTGAAATCCATGGCACCTGTGGGAGAATTCTTGTCTCTATTTCCTTTTTCCATATGCCTAAAAATGTTCTCTTTTCCCCTGCCCTTTGCCTGTCATGGACGCCCCTAGGCTTTGCTTACAGCAGAAGGTCAAACCTCCCAGATTTGCCAGAAGGCTCCCGGAATCTCCAACTGACTGTCTGCTTCCAGGCCAAGGAATTTTTAATTTGGGTTTTGGGTTTTTCTGGGGCTGCCTGGGGGCAGGGCTTGGTGCAGCTGCGCCGCCACCTCCTGGTCATATCCGGGACTGCAGGACTCAGCTCCTCGCACAGCCTCTCCTGCCCTAGGCACCTGAATCCCCCAAGGGCTCCCAGGTGGAGGGGGGCTAGGGGGCGTGGGGGAGGGATGCAGGGATGCAGGCAGCCTCAGATTATAGCTGCCAAGCCTCCAGAGTGTCTCATTGAATTACTTAGTGCAGCGTGAACCCCCACTGGTTCTTAAAGAACGAAAATTGCCATTGGGCTGACTTTTCTAGCCAAGGGTTCATGCAGGTGAAATGGCAGGGGCAGCCAGAGTGCTCAGCTCCAAGCGCAGGCCTTCTGCCTAAGGTGATAAATGAAATGGGATAATGGATGGGCCTGACCTGGAATATTAGCCATCACCTATCAGCACTGCTGTTCCCTGGACGCCTTCTCCTTTCTGTTTTCTTTTCTGGCATATCAGATCCAGCTGGGCTCCCTGGACCTGGACTTTCCCTGCAGTAGCAGAAAGACCCGAGATCTGGATGGAGAAAAGATGAGGTTCTCTCCTAGATTCACACAGCAGCGGGCCTTAAGCTGGTAGTACTTCTTCCCTCCCTTTGAAGATCTCCCAGGTCTTACATGTTATAAAACCCCATCTGTGCAGACCCTCCTACGTTCAACCAAGGGACTTTTTTTTTTTAAGATTTGTTTATTCATGAGAGACAGAGGGAGAGGCAGAGGCAGAGACATAGGCAGAGGGAGACGCAGGCTCCCTGCAGGGAGCCGATGTGGGACTCGATCCCAGGACCCCGGGATCACGACCTGAGCCAAAGGCAGATGCTCAACCACTGAGCCACCCAGGTGCCCCAACCAAGAAACTTTCTGGAGGAAGGAGGATGAAGGGAACCTCTTCACTAAATTCCCTCATTCTTTCCTATGGTGGGCATGTTGTAAGAGTCCCAGCCTCACATAAGGAAAGCTCCTTCTCTGTACCCTTGGTCCCAACAATGCCACTCCCCAGGGGAACCCACGGGAATGCACCTTCTATGTATTTGCAAGTACATCAACATAAATCATTATAAATTGTTGTCTTTAATTCAGAAGTTGTATGTGTCCATGGCAAACAACCCAATGGTCCAAGACTGTGTAAAATGACAAAAGTCCTTCTACACTGTCACCCCCCCCCCGCCGCCTCAATTGCCCAGAGACAACTGCCACCAACAATGTATATTCTTCCAGAAAAGTCTTAGAGCATCTTCAACATATGCAGTGTTTTATTATTTTTTTTAAGATTTTATTTATTTATTCATAGACACAGAGAGAAAGAGGCAGAGACACAGGCAGAGGGAGAAGCAGGCTCCACGCAGGGAGCCTGACGTGGGACTCGATCCCAGGTCTCCAGGATCACACCCCAGGCTGCAGGTGGCTCCAAACCGCTGCGCCACCGGGGCTGCCCTGCAGTGTTTTAAAATTGTTGAATAGGCAGTAATTTCACACAGTTCAAAGAGATTGTGAAGCAAAGTATATGATGGAGAAGCTCTCTTTCTCCCCACCCTTTGCACCCTTTGCAAGGGTCCTACTTGCCGCCCCACTTGCAGGAAACCAGTTTTTGTTTCTTGTGCATCCTTTCAGATTGTCTTTCTAAAAACATAAACAGGTAAATGTGCATTCTTACTTCGTCCCTTTTGATGCAACAGTTTTTCACTTTTCATGTGCTTCCCATGGCATTACCCCCGCTTGTACTTGGGAGCGTGGAGCTTCAGTTTTTTCGGCTGCAGAGTATTCTACTATATAGATTTACTATAATTTATTTAACTGGCCTCCTGTGGGTGAACACTTGGGTTGCATCTAATATTTTGATAATAAAAAGGTCCTGAGGGATCCCTGGGTGGCGCAGCGGTTTGGCGGCTGCCTTTGGCCCAGGGCGCGATCCTGGAGACCCGGGATAGAATCCCACGTCGGGCTCCCGGTGCATGGAGCCTGCTTCTCCCTCTGCCTGTGTCTCTGCCTCTCTCTCTCTCTCTCTCTGTGTGACTATCATAAATAAATACAAATTAAAAAAAGTCTTAAAAAAAATAAAATAAAAAAATAAAAAGATCCTGAAATCAGGAACTTTGCACATATACTCTTTCCAATGTGTGCTACTGTAGCTGTAGGATAAAATTCCAGAAGTGGTATCTTGGCGATCATTTCATAATGTGTGAAAATATCAAATCACTACATATACCTGAAACTAATAGGAGATTGTAATAGCAATTTTACTTCAATTAAAAACAAAATCTAGGGATGCCGGGTGGCACAATAGGCTAATCATCTGACTCTTGACCTCAGCTCAAGTCTTGATCTCAGGGTCATGAGTTCAAGCCCTGAATTGAGCTCTGTGTGCTGGGCATGGAGACTATGTTAAAAAAAAAAAAATACAGAAAGTGGTATTGCTTAGTTGAATTGTGAAGTATAAGTGAGTCTGTGGCTTTGGAAGGCAGCCCCGCTGCCCTACCCAGGGCCACAGCCACTGCTACTGTCCCAGCCCCCTACCTCAGGGCACCATTACCACACTTATAGGGCTTGACCCGTATCACAGAAGACATGTGGCATCTCAGCATAGCTTTATTTTGCATTTTTTTAAGATTTTATTTATTTATTCATGAGAGACACACAGCAAGAGGCAGAGACACAGGCAGAGGGAGAAGCAGACACCCTGCAGGGAGCCCAGTGCGGAACTCCATCCCAGGATCATGACCTGAGCCAAAGGCAGACGCTCAACCACTGAACCACCCAGGCATCCCTGCATTTCTTTTCTTATGAGTGAGGGTGAGCAACTTTTAACATATTTAAGATGTATTTGCACTTCTTTTTCTGTGAGCTGCTTCTTCACATTTTTATCAATTTTTTATTGCAGTTT